AATAATTTATCTTTCATTTTAGTAAATAAATATATATATGGAAATTCTTTTATATATTTGAAAAAAAATTCTTTTCCATTATTAATAAATTTTGAAATATCTTTAGAGGACACATCTTTATAAGCTTCTTCATCATTTAAATGTTCTAAAACCATATTATCATAATACTCTTGATTCATGATAATTAAAACTTTATCACTTCTTTTAATGACTGTCTTTTTTTTTCATTGAAATATTGTCAACTGAAAGAATTTCACAACATGTATTTTCTACATTACATATTATATCAAGTTTTAGATTTCTTCCTTTTGGAGGCACAGAATTACTTTTTCTTGTTTTAAGGATCCATCATTATCATTATTTCTCTTAAAAAATTCTTTTAATCATAATTTTCTAATAAATTCATGTATATCTTTAATTTTAATTTCATTTGGTTTATTATTTGGGATAAGGGAAAGTCCTCTCTTTAAATGTTTAGTTTCGTCTTTCAACTTAAATTCAACATTTTTAATTCCGTTACTTTGGAAAATTATTTTTGTTTTCTATATTTTGTGTTGTCATTTATTATTATGTGTATTTTTCATTTTAACTCATTAAGTTTCAATTATTTATATTTCTTTATTTTACTTATTATTTTCTTTTCTTGTATTCAATTTTATCTTCTTTTCTTATCTTCATATTTTCCAAAAGCTGAGATATTTTCCTTTTTGTGCTTTATCTTTTTTATGTTATTGTTTCTTCTGTTTTCTTCTTTTTTGATTTTTCTGAATATATAAAATTTTGTGCTCTTTCTCATTCTGGATCTTGCCTGTCTAAATCAATTTTTTATAGAACTAAACTTTCATTCTTCCTAAACATTCTCACTAATTTTTTCTTCTTGACTACATAGATCACTCCAATATCCTTTGTTAAATTTCTTAAAATTCTGATACTGAAAAATCAACTTTTGTATACTTAATGAACTTGACCTCTGCTCTTGATTGTAGAGCTTTGGTTTCAGTTATGGTAGTTTCTATCTCTAAATGTTCATCCTTTGATAGCATAATATTTATATGATATCTAAATTTATGTGATATGAGAAATGGATCTTCTTGGAGAAACTTAATCAATAGTTTATTTAATTTTTCTACTCTCACTTTTCTCCAATACAGTAGTTTTCTTTCATTTAAATTTTTCTTTTAAGTATTTTCTGTTTTCACGCGAGATATTTTCAACAATCTTTTCATGTATATAAATATTATTTTTCATAGTTTTCGAAATTCACAGAAACATATTTTTTCTCGGTCTTTAATGAGAATTTCCAAAGAATTATTTAATTTTAGCATGATATTTGTTAGTAGGTCTTTCAAATTTGTTAAGAAGTCTACCATTATATCATTAGCACCTCTATTACAAGAATTATTTTTTCCTAGTTTCGGGTGCCATTTCTTTTTGTGAATGTCTTGAAAGTCTTTGTTTGTGACTTTATTTTACAATATTTAGTTTGTTCTGTTGCTATGTTCCTTAAGAATAAGTAAAGTTCTAAAAATGTGTTCTAAGTTATAATGAAGGCTTTGGTGTGGAGTCAGAAGCTCACCAATAAAGAATATTTTAATGTGAGAAGTGTCTGCAAATCTTTTTTAATGTTTTTTTATGTTATTTCCAAATTATCAATTTAAAAACATACTTACCCTTGTTCATAGCTTAATGCTCTGGACTGTTTTAAGAAAACTTTTCATTTTTAATTTAATATCACATCATAGTTTCAACTTCGTTATGAACATTTTATGCTTTAATGTGTATAAAAAAATCTTTATTTAATCATAATTATTGCATGGATTGACATAATTGTATTATGCTGAAACTGTAAACTCTGTACATGTTCTTTCTTTCTAGTGTACCTATGAAATGTGGATGTTATACAGAGGTTGAGTATGTTATATTAAAACAATTTTGGAGCCTCACCATGCTATTACAGTCCATTTTGCCCCAAACAATCATGCTTCTTCTGACAGCCATGCATCTTTACAATAGTCTTGCAGCATGGTTTCAATTGCAAAAGGCTCTCTCATTAAGTTGTTATGACCAAAGCACACTTCTTCTTCTTCCTCTTGCTTTCTATAACCTATCTAGTGTAAAAGGATGACAGTTCCCAGAACCTGCTTGAACATTCTGATTTCACAGAGCCACTGCACCTGCTGATTTGACTGGTATGTCTTTATGTGGAAGAGCAAGAGTAACCATTTTCTTCTTCAGCTGCTTGAGGAGTACAGTCACTGAACTAACATGTTGTCGAGGCATCTTCTGTAAACATGACTTGTTTGCTTTTCGAGATGGAGATCCTTCTTGATTTTCTTGCATATTGTTGCCTAGGGTACCTGGAGGCTTTTGCTATACATTTTTGTGTTAGTGGATTCTCATCTGTTACAAGATGTTGCAATTTGTTTACCATTGCTGGGGTATGATTTGTTACAGATCTCTTCCTGGATGGTCCTGGTTTTCTAAGTTGATTCATATTTCTTTGTTTTCCAATGCCATAAAGTACAAAGAATATCCCCATCTAGGAAATTCTAAATCCATGATGTGAACACATCTTTGTGATCTGACTGTATGAATATGTTGTTTTGAAAGGGGTTGTTACACACCCTCCCCAAAAGCGATCAATTTCCAGTGGCATAGCACTAGCTATGATACACTAAACAACAAGTAAAATTAGTTCTGATACATCCTGTTCCTGTAACTTTATATTGGCTGTGGTTGTCACATTAAAATCTGATTTGTGTATTTAAGATCATTTTAATGTATCATACTCAACCATTTGTTGCCATTCTGCCTAGTCTAGCAATGAAATATTCATGTTATAGTCATTCTGTGTAGCCTAGCTCTAGCTTACAATGAAATGTTGTTGTACATACCACTTATTTTAAGTAACATTTGTAAGAGATGTAAATGTATTTCATTGTATCTAGACTAAAACTGAAATCTGGATTATCATAAAGTCTGTAGACTTTATGTATGGATGGCTAAAGGTACTCAATAGCCATAATATAAATATGCATGCTAAAAAATCAACAATGACAGAAAGTTTAAAAGGTGATTGCCACTCCCTTTCATTTGTTTTTCTACTCAACAAGCCCAAAAACAAGGCAACAAACCATTGCTATGATACCAAACCAGAAAGTGACTAACCCACCAAATTGTTCATCTTTCTTCTTGTTTTAGTCAAGATAACTCTACAACTACTTTATCACTAACGTCAGTTTAAACCTAAATCTACTCTTATGTGTTTCTCGGCAGTTCATGATGTCATCGCTTAGTTTTAATGATTAGTAGTAATTATTAAAAAAATCATAATTCTAGTGTAAACAATGTATCATTACCCCTTGAAGTTAGCTTTTTTACAGTAATCTGCTATTCCTTTAAAAAGCTTAAGTACAGGGTGAAACAGGAATTACCATCCGATAATAGAGGAACATTAGATGATTGCAACATGTATAATACTCAATGCTTTGTACACTATATAGTCAGTGTCTTTAGGGAGTCAACCCCTATATTATGTTTGAAGTGAAGAAGTAAAAAGAAAATCAATACACATAATATTATATTTTATTACATACATTCACAGAATCCACTAACTTTCATTCAAGGGAAAAAATGCACAAAACAAGTAATAAAAAAACATTATGTAAATGTAAAATGATGTAGGGATGGCAGTACCAGAGAGAGTATGGAAACAATAATAAAGGGATAATACAGCTATATGTAGATTATCTCTAATTGACTTTGAACTTTAAAATTTAATGTCATGCTGTAAAATTCACACTTGACTTTAATATTACTGCAGGTGGAAGTTATATATTCTTGACTGTTGGTATGCAGTTTGTTTATGATAATATCATGGTTATCTCAGGGTAGGCATCAGTGTGGTGTACCTAAGAACCTAGGAATTACATACAAGGAAAACCAAGTGGTGTCAAAACTTGTCTTGACTATTACAGACTCTTGTCATGAGGTTGATAAGATTGACTGACCTTGTGACCATTTTCTACTTTTGCATTTTACAGTGTAATATTAAATTTTAATATTGAAAGTCATGTAGGAATGACCTATGTATAGCTGTATCATCTCTATATTCTTGTATGCATTCATTTTGGCACTGCCATTCTTATATCATTTGACATTTACAAAACGTTTTTTATTACTTGTCATGATATGAAATGCATTCCATTATTACAGAAAATGGCACTTGGATTGCCAGACATACAAATATTTTGCTTGTATGTTACACGTTTCACTCTACAAATTTGATGTCATCCTATACATAGTTATTTTGCATAGCTTAAAATGAAGCATAGCTGTAAAGAGCTACTCTTTCTAGCTAACAGTGAACTCAGGATGTACATATGACTTTCTTTGGTCACACATTAATTTCATTTAGTCAAACAATAAAGCCTGGATTTACACAATCATGCTGCCTTGGCTGATAATAAAATGTACATTTAAATAGTTGTGCTGTCCAGCCTGACAATTAAATGTGGAATATGTGTGACTTTTTCATACATAAAAATGAAACGTAGATGTGAAATATTAATATATGTGTGACCAGAAATGAAAACCTGGATCTACACACTCATTCCATCATGCATAATAATGAAATGTGCATTTATATGTAATTGTACTGTCTAGCCTGACAATTAAATATGGGTGTACAAAAGACTACTTTGCTTAACAATGAAGTGTGGAAGTACATAGGCACTCTCTCTTTTCACTTATCAAACAGTAAAAGGTGGATGTATAGAATCATTATTTCTACCCATAATATAAAATATACAGGTACATAACCACTCTTTCTAACTTAGCAGTGAAATGAAAAATAATCATTGTGTCAAGTCTAACATTATAAACTGAATGTACAGTGTAATGTATCACTAACTGCATATTTTATTATTTACCTATAGATACACTGTCATCTCCTTATAAGCTGTTCTATACATGTAGTTATTATACTTCTTTCCTTGAAGGTATCACATTTTCCTCCAGTTGAAGAAAGACATTTTGGAAGGAAGATTAATTGTACCTCTTGCTACATCTGTTTTATTAGCAAGTTATGCTGTTCAGTGTAAGTTCTGATTAGTGAAGAATACATACTTTTTGTTTCAGGGCAAAACAAATTTAGCAAGTTCATACAAAAAAGTAAGAATCTATTTCAATAGATGTTGTTCTTCAGTTTAAAACACAGCGATAGTACTTTTAAGCAACTGTTATTATCATGTTTTAATAACAATTAAATGTGACTTAAACTTTTATTCGGTTTTAACAATAGTAGAATGTAATTTTTAACAAATATTGGATTTTTGTTTTTAACATAGTGATAGAATATGACATTTTTAACAAATGTTGTCCTGTTTTAACACAGTGATAGAATGTGACTTTCTGATATGATATCTTGCCTCCTCTTGACTTATACTGCCATCTATCAGTGCAGATTTTTGCTCGCCACTAACCTTGATTCTCCCACTTACCCTCACGTATGTAAACGTGATATATCTGCATACTGATATGCAAATGATTATGCAGCAACCTTCCACCAATACTAGTGTGATACTACCCTTATTGTACCTAGCACCCTCTCTAATCTTGCAGCTGTTAACCACTTCTTGATTGGCAGTCTTATAATTCGGATGTGTTTTTGCTCACGTTTTCAAACTGATTTTTTCGCTTAATTTCCAAAGTTTATTGTTTCATCTTTTGAATGTTTATTTATTTTTTTCTCAGCCGTAAATTTTTTCAAATTTATACGGTTTTGAGAATTTTTTTGGTGTTACACTTCTCTTTTTTTTCCTGTCAACTTCATTTATCATATACGTGGGATTCCACATGGCTTCTACCTCAGTGGCTGTAACTACTTCAGATAATTTGTCCACCACTACAACAGCGTCTGAGCACATTATCAGTTAAGTATATAATGGCTATTTTGCTGGGAGTTGGCTAAATTCTTGTGAACTTCTGAGTACCTGCTGATTGTCCGTTTATTCTTTGTACTGCTTTGCCTGTACATGACGATGAGAATTTGAGCTACTTAGTTCCTCCTCCTGCCTGTGACTACTAGTTGTTTGTCATTTCTGGGGAGGTGTCCAGGCCTCCTTTCTCTTTGGCAGACATGTTAACCCTACGACTACTGGCTTCTAATTTTATTAGAAGGTAACGTCACTCTTGTCATATTTCATTTCAAAATTAAAACTAGTAGATGAAATTTATTAAAACTTGACAAGAATCTTCCTAAAAGTAGGTAATTCAGAAAAATAAAACAATTTTGATTATTCTATTATTTCTAATAAAAAATTCGTTATTTAATGTAGTTATTTGTACTCACACTCTGAGTAGTTCACCTGCAAGGTGATTTTTGTATGAAGTATAAAAATACTATTTATTATCTTACATTTTTCACATTTCATTTGTATAATCTGTATAACTTCCTAAATGAATATCAAAAGATTTTTTTAAAGGTAAATATTTATATTTTTTTTACATTTTCTTTACTATATCCTTAACTCTACCTATTATAACCAACGTACACTGCAATGAAACGTTTAAAATTAACACATGGAAATATGAACATACCTTTTAGCTCTTCATAGAAGTCTTTTGAAACTTGATTTTTTAATATGCATAATTTCACATCTTTATTTTTTCACTTATAGTTTATTTTTAATTGTTAATTTTCCATCCCAATTCTATGCCTTTCATTATTCATGCCGTTATGTCAGCTTGTGCCCATGAAGCTGGAAAGTTATTACCTGCAAATTTGCATGTTTCATTAAACAAGATGGCATTTATAAGCTTTAACAATCCAGACAACGACAGGTTAAACTTATAAAAAATCATTAAACCTTTCAAATATGTAATTTTCAAACACAAATAATACATAATTGATTAACATATAAAAGTAAAACCAAAATGCAATCTGTCTATCAAAGTAATGCATATAAGGTGAGAAAAAATTTCCAAGTACTAAGGATACCTTGAGAGAACAATGGACTTGACTTCATTTCATCCCATTTGAAAAAACAGTGTACACATACACTATCATTACAGTAACAGAGTTCGAGAGTGAAATCTGCTTTTCTGTTGGATATAAGCATGCCATTCAACTTAAAACTGTACATAGCAACACAGATTTGACTTTGCAAATGGGCGTGGCTGACCTTAAACTAAGAAAGTATTTACAATGGTTTTTCGGAGGGAAAAATTCCTCGAAAGTAAAATGAGACAGTAATGTAAGCCACATGTATGTGTACTTTGGTCATCTGAAGGAAGCCTGTACAGTGCAGACACACAGTTTCTTCTCTACCAGCTTTTAAAGTTGAGAAATTGTAACTGTGAACTGATCATGTGACAGCAAAAACTGAAGTTTTACTTGTTGTCCTAGATGTTTCTTTTGAAATAAGTGAATAAAAACTTAGATAATATAAAACTTTAAATTATAATGTACTTGATAATAATAATTTCATTAAAATACATTGGTAGTAAAGTGGTTTAACCAAATTTTGAATGTAACACAATACCAATGCAAAAAGGAATTTCAGAATGGTGCCAGGAGCAATAGGGTTAAATCGGATAGGATATGTTTTATCATTACCTCATATTTCTTTTCATTCTATTCCTTCCCTTCTCTGTGATAAGCCATGGGGTGAGTTTTAGTGTTCACTTAACCCCTCAGGTTATTAGGGGTCCTGAGTGTAATTTTGGAGACCAGTTAACTTCGGAGGTATGTATATCTTGAACCCTTGACATGTCATTGTTCTGACTTCCCTCCTTAGGTTTGCAGAGTAGTGGTGTAGCTTGTCCCTTGGTGGAGATCAAACTCCATTAGTTTGGTTTTTGAGTATGGCACTTTTGTTTTATACCAGGTGATTTTTTTGAGGGGAGCATTCTTGAATCTTTGGAGCCCAGGGTTAGGTCAGCCCTATTGCTTAACATCACTTGGCCTTCCTTTTCTCCCACTCCCCCTGAATGGTTCTGGCCTTCCGATTGTTTGCAGCTTGCCATTGGTTCTTGAACACAGTTTTCCAGGTAACTGGCAGTCTTGGTGATTTTGGGGGTAGGATTGGGCCTGGTGGGACAATGTTATGTATATGGACTTCCAACACTAGAGTTTGGTGTTTGATTGCACCCAGTGGAAACAGCTATATGCCCAATGTGGATTTGCTCTACAATACAAACACATTCTTACTCTATCAGACATGGTAAAACAATGATTCCAACTGCTTTGCCCAAGTTTGGAGATAATTTCTCATAGATCCTTGGGTTCTAAGGTGATCACATTTGATATGGTCCTTTTTTGAATATCCCTTCTCCTCAGGTTTCTATTTCCTGCCAGAGTTTTTAAGAGGTGGTTTGGGATTTGATTTTCAAGGATGCCAATTAAGGGACTGGTACGCTCACATCATTTGTTCGGTTCTGACCCATTTATTAGTTCTACATAATGGGGTCATAATTAGCTTTTTGTTGGGTTTTCCCTCCTAGTTTGTGGAGGATGAGAGTATTGTATCATATGGTTCCTCTTCATTAACCTCTCTCCTTCATTCTGACTTTCTTCTTTGGGTCCATATGGGTTCTGTGTTTTCAATCTAGACTCTTCTGCTGGACATCTCGGCTGCTTACAGTTTGGATGGTCCGGGTTTTTGCCTGTCTTGTTCTTTTTCAGAGTCCATCATTTTCACCATGGCATGGATGTCTGGCTTCCTTACAAGCCGATTCTGTCTTTCTTCCTCTTTTCTGTTAGGAATAAAGGCTCGGGTTAGTTGGTGGTGAAGGTGGAAATGTTTTTCCTTCACTCCTATGTAATATCTCATTCATCTTGGGGCATTGTTTTATTTCCTACTCAGTTGAGTTAGGGTGATTCTAGTTTGCAACCTCTTCTCTACTCCTCTCATTGTTCATGAGGCTGTCTCTCATTTGGGGACATGGGCTTCTCAGGAATCCCTCATCCCTATTGGTCATGTCCTCTTGTGTTGTCTTTAATTGGTTTGTTGGTACAGTTGAACCTTATTTGGAATCCCTCAGAGGCTCTTTTCATTCTTTTCTTCCTGACAAACTTTGCCTAGTTGGCTGGATCAGCTCAACACCTTTTTCAGTGTTTCTCCTCTGAGTCCATAATGTCTTCTTTTCTGGGTGCTCCCCTTTATGGTTGGAGTAATTTATGGTGCTCAAGAGGTTTTGGGTTGATGGTCTCTCTCAGAGTCCTCTCACCTTTCCATCACTGTTGGTTCCTAGCAGTTCGTTTGGCTCTGGTTCACTTTATTTTGGCCCTACAGGGATGGTCAGTGGTAGTGTTTTCTAACATTTCTGACAAATCATCTCTACTCTTGTATGTCTTCAGGCAAGTAGGCACTCAGTTAAGTGACCTTTGGTGTAGACTACTGATACTCGTGTGTTGGGCCTCAGCCTTCATATTCTTTTTCTGACTTGTCATATTCTGGAAGCCCTGTATCTCATGGCAGGTCAGTTATCTCTGCCTGGTCGAGGCTCTCCCCTGTGACAGGACGTGCACTAATTCCTTCCATGGTGACTACTCTCGTTGTTTATTCCTTAGAATCCTTCACAGTCTCGTGACTATTATCCAATTACCATTATAGTAGGATTTGTTGGTAGATTTGCCTGGTTTATTTTTTCCTTTCTTCAGATTTATTTTGTCTCTTCCGAGCATTTCCCTTTGTATTCATCATCTCGTCCTGTCCCTGGCTGCTCATTTCCTTCATCTGTTTCCTGTTCCAAGTGAGTGGTAAGTACTCCATTCATTTTGCTTGCAGGGGCCTTTCTCCTGTGTTTGGATCACACTGTGTGGCAAGTGGTGCCTTACCAGGTATACTTAATCTTAAATCTGCACTGTAAGATTTGTGATTATATACCATGCTAGATGACTGCAACTTTGAAACATTTCTTACTGCAGACCTGATGTACAATTCCAGATACCACCAGGTGTTGGTTGATCGACTCCATCAGTGTTTTCTATGCTTTCAAAATACAATTTTATAACATATAACCATGTCATATTACACCCACCATTTGTAGGACTGCTTGTATGAATACCTTGTGGTCTTTTCCTTTATAACTATGTTTATCCCAGACTGTATACTTGTGGACAAACATAGGGAAAGCAGACAGGGATAGCTGTCCATCTCTGATGATCTGTGGTGTTTGGTGCTCATCCTACCGCAGTCCTGATGTACAATTCCAGACGTTGGCAGGAGTTTGATAATGCACCCTGTTAACATAATTTATCTACTTTTCAAAATAGGGTATCGTGGTCACCCATTGCACTGTCTCCAGTGATGTGGTTCTCTGGTAGCATTTTTTCTCTCCTCCTACTTTTGGAGTATGGGAGTCCTTGCCTTTCACAAGTTCCTAGCTGCTGGGGTGGTGAACCATGGTGGCCTGTCCTCCTGAGCGTGCAGAATACCACTCAGTTAAGAGTAGAAAGGTGGCATTCTGCTGGTGTAGATGGCATGATGCCCTTCCTACTGTGGACATGTTGTTCAATTCCAAATGTTGCCAGGTGTTGGATGTAGCTCTCTGCCATATATATATATTGCAGTTTGCCCCTCTCTCTGAGGCACCCTCTTTCCTATTGTTTGCCGGTTCTCGGTGGATCAGGTGTTGATTGGAGCTGGACCAGCCACATAAGCCCTCATACCATGGACTAGATGATAAAAATTGCCAATGCCGCCAGGTTTTGGACTAGAGGTGCACCCTATATAGCCATCCCTCTTTCTGTTGTCTGCTGGATGTTGGTTTGTGTGATCTGACCAGTCATGAAGTGGTTAACAGCTGCAAGATTAGAGAAGGCACTAGTTATGATAGGGATACTGTCGCATTCCCATTGGTGAATGGTTGTTGCATAATTATTTGCATGTCAGTATGCAGATATCTCACATTAACATATGTAAGGGAAAGTAGGAATATTAAAGTCAGTGGTGAGCAAAAATTTGCACAGAGAGAGGGCAGTATAAGTTGGGAAAGCTTTTTGCGATAGAGGTATCTATCAGAAATACATTTTCAGTTTAGGAAAATGTTAACTTTTGACAGCATTGTAATTTTAAACAATGATAACATGCAACTGTTCTGTTCTCGATTTTATATATTTGTTGTTGTGACCTTAAAAGAAGCTTTCATGCTCACATTTGAAAATTACAAAAATCTTTGTATTATATCAACTGTTTTCTTCTTATTTTTTTGCTACTAACACTCTTGTCCTGTCTATTGGATGCTGTGTTTACTCATGACATGAAAGTGTTGAAGCTTTTGTTACTAGTGGTTTTGTAGTTAATCATGAAGTGAAAAATCTAGAACTTTTTGTTATTGTAGGTTTTCTTACATTCTTGACATTAAAATGTACGATCTTTTAAACGTTTTGTTTATCTGTCATTCATAGTGTTGAAATATTAAGCTTTTAATACATTTATTACTTTAAGTTTGTACCACTTAAGATGTTAAAATGTAGAAGTTTTTGTTACTTTGGTTTTGTACCATTTACAGTGTGAAAATGTAATGCTTTTAATATATTTATTACTCTAAGAGTGTAACATTCATGAAGTGAAAACATAGAAGCTTTAATTACTTTAGAATTTTACCATTCATGATTCAAAATGTACCAGCTGCTATTTTGTCCATGGCAGTAATTTTTTGAGGGTTTCATTATAACCTAGTGTCACCTTGATTTGTTTTTTAGCTGAATTGGGTGACTTTATACCTGAGGAACACAAGCATGGCTACCTGAATGAATTCCGTTTAGTACCTAATCAAACAGATGACATAGAAAGAAAGATAACAGAATTGCATAAACTTCACAAGTAAGATTAACTGTTTTTTTTATATGTTTAGAATTTCATCTTTACACATTGGTTCACCTAGTTGGAATGTTTGGTTTGAAAAATGATGTATTTTTTAGTCACTTGTAAAAGTGAAATTTTCAAAAAATACATTAAACTTGACTATTTTTTCTCTTTACTTATACTTTATTTAACCTTCAATTTTTCCTTTACTTGTTTTATGGTTGGGTGAAAATATCCTTGGTCTTTGCATTAACTTTGATAGTCCAGGTACACATTTTATAAAGTTTTTTTATTCTTTTTAATAAAAGAGGCCAGACTCCTGCTGATGCAGAATTTAATTATCTTGACCATGCTAAACGACTTGACATGTATGGTGTGGATCTTCATCGGGCAAGGGTAAGGGTAAGCACCATTTGGTTTTGGTTTTGTTTAGGTAGTTGGTTCTTTTAGAAAATAAAGTTTTTACTTGGTACTGGAAATGAAATTCCCTCAAGTGATAACTAAGGAATTTTGATTCTTTATAATCTTAGCTTATTTATAGATAATATATCTTTTTATATTCTTCAAGTTACACATGTGCAATTATTATGTATACTTTGATGGGAATTCACTTGAGCACACAGAGAAAAAAAATGTATTTAAATCAGTAAATATTTTGTAACTTTTGTTAGTTCTTAAATTTCAGGTTTCATCAACCCTTTCCAGCTTGGTATCTCATTAGGTTTTAACAAATGTCTGTTTTGCAATTTTTTTATGCGTATTGTATTAACATATTTTTTGGGTAAAGTAATAAAAAACATATATTGCTAACCCTAATTTGGACATTTGCTTTTTCCATTTATAATTTTTATTGAGGAAATATAAATGTTTAAACCTCCCACCAGTATAGACCAAACTTGTCAACATATATGAAACACTGCTGCAAAATATAGGCTTTGTGCATATTTTTTGTTTATGTCTAGCTCAAATGTTTTGAAAACAGTGAATTTTTCAAGTTTGGTGGCATCAAAAATTTTTAAATTCAGCTCTCTTCATTTTTTGCATTACAATTTCTGAGCTTATAAAATCATCAGAATTGTAAATTTATCCTTTTAAAAACTGAGATAATTTTCTCCTTTGCATTTTACCATGATGCTTCCTTTCTTACTTTTATGGATAAACCTTTAGTTATTACATCAGAAGCTTTTCATTGTCAAATACTCAAAGTACCTGGTATGTCATGGTTTTACATTTTTTAAATGTTATGTACAGTTAATCAATTAATCCTATCTGCACAGGCATCCTTTACTGTGCATTTCACAAGGTATTTAGTGATTTACATTCAAAATATAATTAAACCAATTTTTGTTAATTAATATGGCAGAAAATTGTAGCTAATAATCCACATTTTAATAGTGTATAAGTTAAGTTCTTAATTTTATAAGGCAATATTTTAAAAAATCCTGAATTTATCCTAATGTGAGAAACGTGACATTTTTTCTGTAGGCATCCCCTCTTCTCTAATTTATTCACAAACCCTCCAGTAAGTATGAAGTTTAACGTAAATTACACACTACAAAATTGGCATTGCTCAGACAAAGCATGATTTCATAGCCTTCACTTTTGTTTGGTTACAGAGCTAAATTGAAAATCAGACCCATCTTACCACACCCATCATATTCTCTCTTATGTTTAATTCTATATTATGTATAACCAAAAGAAAGCCCAAGTTTTCATCCATCAAATGACGTATTAAATTACATCATCTTCTGAAAAGAGAATTGTCAATTTATCTTTTAGTACAAGCTGTGTTCCCACGGGAAATATATAGACTACCTTGGATGAATTTGTAGCGGCTCTTGTCGCATAGTTAGAAAGCCAGAAAAATTGTGATAGATATGAGACATTGTCTGCTTTTTGCATGCTATTAGTCTATGTTGTTTGGTGCATTATTTAATTAAATTAAAATTATTTTGTGCACTACTACCGTTAGTATAAAAAAAGTAGGATTAAGTATCATTGACAATCAACAGCAAAATAGAGGAGGTCCAAGTACTTTATTTCTTTTTTTTCATGTGTATTGTTTGTTTATTATTATAAAAGTAACTAAAATGTAAAAATAGGATTCTCTTTAGGTTAATTAAAGTTAGATTAGGTAAAATATATAATAATATGATAAAAATGTTTTATGAGGTACACACACACAAGCAGCTCGGAGTAGCAACGTAATTCGATAGTGTAATGTAAGCTCCATGTTCCCAAAGTGACTTACAACTTATAATGGTACAAATAGTAGTTAGACATGGTTCAAAGATCAATAACGCAATAAAATCTAAGTATAAATTGATGTATATTATTACAAGTTTAAAGCCACTTAAGATAAACGAATGTAGTTTCATGTTACAATTTGAAGTCATTCTAAAAAGATCCCCTTGACATGGATTCCTGTGCGTGGTGAGGGGACCTCCCAGGGAAAGTTCTGTATTTTCAGTTACCTACTCTGGGATCTAAGCATCCACCCATGTGTTTGCCATGCGTGGTGACCCGAGAAGGGTAGGAGAGGATCCTGGTTATTGAGTGGTGTCTGGGGCACTGCAACACACCTCTTTGGCCTTGAATTCCTGTAGACGGATGGCCTTGGGGTGCCCCCCCAGGGTCATTCGGCTGGTTCACTCGGGCTAGGGTCAACTGAGTACCAGTGTGGACATTGTGTCTGATGCTGGTGTTTGGGTATAGTGCTCACAAAACCCTGGCATTGCTGCAGTGTCCTTGTTTGACATTGTAGTGCGTCCCCTCGTAGGACTCCATGGTGTGTGGGATCAGTGGGCACTGAATCTTTCTCTTTTATTATGGATCCCCCAATCCAAATAAAAAAAAAATTAAAACTCTGCTAATTGGTAAATGACCACACCTAGAAGACTGAACAGCAGTCTCCATCACAAAGTACACCTGTACCTCGCTTCCTGATCCTGCATTCACTGTCCAATAAATCTTTAGGGCAAATATCTCCCTTTTTTATTCAGAAGAGATTAGAGAGGCTTGCTGGCTCTCCAAAGTCAGTTAAGAAGCTATGTTTTGGGGATATCTTGGTGGAAACATCAACACCAAAACACAGTGAACTCCTCCTGAATTCTAAGACCATTGGGGATATACCCTTTGAGGTTACTTCCCACGCTTCTTTGAATTCGTCACGAGGAGTTATTGTTGAAAGGGACTTGAAGACCATCTCCGAGTCAGAGATCCTTGCTGGTTTCTCCAGCCAAGGAGTTTCAGCAGTTGAAAGGATCTCCACTCATCAAGATGGAATTATGGTACTGACCTCTGTTCTTATTTTAATGTTTTCATCACCACGTCCACCTTGCTATTGACCTGCTAAGTCAGGTTATTTGAACTGTTAGGTACGGCCGTATATTCCTAACCCTCTCTGATGTTTTCAGTGCCAGCGGTTCGGTCATTCAAAGACATCTTGTTATGGTTCTTTGACGTGTGCTCGTTGTGGTGGCAAGGACCACAACACCTACGAGTGCAAACTGGACCCTCACTGTGTAGTGGTTCCCACCCCTCTTACTTTAGGTCTTGCCTTAAGTGGGTGGAGGAGAAAGAGGTACAGCATTTGAAGACTGTTCAAAACATTTCTTGCCCAGAGGTTCGGAAGCTATTGTTCCCTACTCTATCTCGGACATATGCCTCTTCACTACGCTCCACTGCTGCAGGTCTACGTCTACTCCAATTTCTCCAATTTCACTATTCCTTCTAGTGACTGCCTGGGTCAACCTCCTTGGGCACCAGCCTCTGGTGTTCACTCGGGTCCTTCTTTGACCCCTAAATGCAGCCAAGGAGTCATTAGGAGTTCTCAATTATTAGATTCTCAAAATGATGACAGAGATCTGCCCACTTGATCAAAAGCAGGATCCATGGAGGTCGATCGACCTCCATCTAGTAAAGAAAAACGGCGTGGTCATAAACCGAAGGATTCTCCACACTGTTCTCCTTCACCTACATAAAAATGGCCACTTTGATACAGTGGAACTGTCAAGGTTTTCGTTCTAATCTCGATGACATTGAGGCCTTGATTGACTCCTATCATCCCATGTGTGTCTCCTTACAGGAAACATTTCTGAAACCTGCTGATACAGTCACCTTTCACCAGTTTTCTTTGTACAGGAATGACAGGTTGTGTGATATGCAGGTGCACGGAGGGGTGGCACTGCTGGTTGACTAGCATGTGCCCTCCTTATCTGTGTCCCTCGATACACCCTTGGAGGCTGTAGCCATCCATGTTTCCTTGGGACGTACCATCACTGTTTGTTCTCTCTACCTGTCTCCTGGGGAGACTTTTCATCAATCGGACCTTGATGCTCTCCTTGACCAGTTGCCATCTCCTTTTTTACTTGTGGGAGACTTTAATGGACACAACCCCCTCTAGGGTGGTGCTGATATTGATGAGAGGGATCGTTCCATAGAGCGTATGCTCTCGGATCACAACCTTCAATTCTGGAACATATACTTATTTTCATGCACCTAGTCAGTCTTTTACTGCCATTGATCTCTCAATTTGCTCCCCTTCACTTTCCACTAACTTTTTTTGGATGGTCGACAATGACCCACAGGGCAGTGATAATTTTCCTATCATTACTTGGGAGGTTGGCCATGGTTGATGCCACCTGACCTGAGTGCTACGGTGGAAGTTGGACCAGGCTGACTGGCCATCTTTCACCTCTTTCTCCGAACTTGATCCTGCCTCTGTCTGTCTGCCATCAATAGATGACTGTTTGGTTGCAGTGACTGACTATATCATCCAGGCAGCTGCTCATTTTATTCGTAAGACCTCGACACGTTTTCCACGGTATCCTCGTCCATGGTGGAGTCCTGCCTGCCAGGAGGCACGAAAGGCTCAAAACGAGCCTGGTATACTTTCTGACGGTATCCGTCTCTTTCTAACTGCATTATTTATCAGTGGGCCCGTGCCCATGCTCAGCAAGTTCGACGTCAAAGCCAAAAGGAGTTTTGGATTATGTTCACTACTAGCATCTCTTCTACCACCAGTTCCAAAACTCTATTTGACAAGATTTGGAAAGTCACTGGGAGGTATGCTTCCCATCCCCTCTCCATCTTACTCTCCAATGGCTAGGAATTTGATGATGTCCAAAGCATTGCTGATGCTCTCGGCTACAGATTTTCTTATGCTTCTAGCACTTCTGTTTCTTCCCCTGCCTTCTTGGCCATCAAGTCTCGGGTGGAGCAGTTGCCTCTCTTCTTTCGGCTCGATCGTTTCTATGACTATAATTGCCTCTTCACACTGGTGGAACTCAAACTTGCTCTTAATTGGTCTGGTAGTACATTGGTCGAACCTGATGATGTTGATTATGAGATGATGTGCCATCTCTCTCCTGCCTCTCTTGCTATTCTTCTGGTTA